TTCCTATATTATAATACCTGGAACAATAAGCATTATGAGGATGCCATTAGGAAGGGGAGAAAGCATGCTCATGTAACAAATAATCATTGAGCACCTTCTGTGTGTGTTGGGGATGCAGAGCTGAAGTGTTAGAATTACTGTGATAGGCTTCGTGAACACATTGGCACTTGTAAGTGTTGGTACAATTCAAATGAGTGGAGAAAAGCAAGAATTTCTTGGGCAGCGGAAATAGCATGAAGAAAGGAAGAGAAGAAGGAATGAAAATAGCATGCGTCTCCCTGACCAGAGCAGTGGTTTGTGATGCAGCAGAGAGAAAGAAAATTGTGTATGTGGTAGCGTGGGGCCTGGTAGGTGGACTGGGAGATTGTGGCAAGGTCAATGGCAGGACAGCCAGGAGACACTGCAAAGGCTAGACAGCTGGAGCAGCATGGTCTGTGGGAGAAGACAATGCAATTTTGTTGCTGGGTTGGCCTTTCAAATTAGGAAACAGGCATAACTATAAATTATGCTTGGGAAACATGTGGTTTCTTTGCTGTCTTCCATCAGGGAATGATTCACCGGGATCTGAAGCCTGTCAACATTTTTTTGGATTCCGACGACCACGTAAAAATTGGTGATTTCGGTTTGGCGACAGACCACCTCACCTTTGCTGTGAGTATTTTTTAAATTAGACTGTGCCTGAAAGTGGATCCACATTCCTTGGTAGCCATGGAAGTGTTAGAAGACAGGATAGATAATAGGTTCACTGAACTCTGCTGTGTAATTCCCAGGAAATGATACAGATCCGAAGGGGTGGGCTGCAAATAGTCTTTTAGGTTTTGACATTGTGAGTACATTTTAGTGAGTACATTTCACTTGAGGGGCATAAAAGTATTGGTTTGTGAATGGTATTTAGGTCAAAGGTATATAATACTTTATGAGATAATTTAGAATTTTGGTCTCTCATGCCAGGCACTGGCTTAGATACTTTATACTCAAGGGGCTTTTAGTTTAGTGAAATGAGGCTTAAGAAAACATAAGATACCAGTCCTAGAGCCCAAGTAATTTAGAAGGTGTTTGTTCTTCATATCATTGTACAGAAACTGTTCAACATACAAAGCTAAACTAATGTGAAGTGACAAAAATAGGGATATTAGAGTGAAAGACAGAAGAAAATTTACATATGGTTATATGAGGATGAGGAAGGCTATATAAAGAAAACAGCATTTCAAATGTTCCTTTAAGGATGGGTGGGAGTTCAGCAGGCTGAGATTGAGGGCAGGGCGTGGTGACACCAGGGTAGGAGATTCCAAAGAGAAAGAACAGCATCAGCAAAGACCCTGGGGTGAGCAGACATGATTGTTCAAAGGCCAGCTTGTTGTCTGGTTGGTTGGAACTATGAGGTGTAGGGAGTCAGTGGGAGAGAATTCTGGAAGGTTGGTAGTCTTGTAGCTGGCAGGCCTTGCGTGCCAGAGAAAGAGTTTACTTGACATCATAAGCCAGAATTATTAGGCACCAAAATCTGTAGTAAATGCAGTTAATTTTAAGGGTGGTCAGAAAAAGGAAATAGGATTTGGATTGATGGTAAATGATCTATTTGGATAAATGGTAAATAGGGGCTAAATTAGAAGGACAGGTTAGAAGGAGCAGAGAGGGAGGAAACGGGAGGGGGACAATAAGAACGTGGTCCTGACCAGAATAACAGGGCATTTTGAAGAGTGCTAAGACCAAGGAAGGGCTGAATGATGGGGTCCTTGATCCCCAACCTAAAGAATTTAACTTGCTTCCTGGAAAGCTGTAGTGTAGTGAGGTATTGGGTTGTCAGAAAAGTCACGACGCATTTTTGCAATGAAAAAACAGAAAAAATACGTTGTGACTTTTCCAACAACCCAGTAGATAAGAGCACAGGCTCTGGAGGCCCACTGATCTGGGCTACAGTCCTATCTGTGCCGTTTCTTTGTGACATGACCTTAGGCGAGTTAGTTAACCTGTCAGTACCTCATCTGTACAATGTGCCTAATACTAGTGCCTACTTCAGAGAGCTGTCAGCAGGATGAAATAAGAATACAGATAAAGTACCTGGAACAGTGCCTAGCTCTAAGAATGTTAAAGCTGCTAGTGTTGAAGGTGGTGCTTGAAAAAGCAACCTGTTGGGCCAGCCGAGTGGCTGGCTCAGTTGGTTAAGAGCTCGCTCAAGAGTTTGAGCTGTGAGCAACAGTGGTTCAATTCCTGGNAAAAAAAAAAATCAGAGAAACTAAAATCATCTGAAACCGTGCACTGATTTTAGAAAATAATTATTTTTAGAACAAGGTTAAGAAAACAGTAAGGTTCCCTTAGAAATTTAGATAGCAGACGTGATATTGGAAAAGCAGGGATGTAATTGTTAATAGAATTAATGATTAAAATGGATATTGTGTTCCTTAGGGTCTCTTAGCAAGCTGAATACATCTAGTTTGGGGTGAGATGTTGTCTAAGTTTTTGGCAGTCAAGACTTTGTTCAGCGTAATAGTCCCAAACATGTGGCTCTCGACTGCGGTTGTAGGTTTTCCCTCAGAATTCCAGGTTCTCCTTGCGAGGGGACGGGCCAGGGGACGGGCGACATTCCAGATGCCGGTCCGTGAGGCTCTGAGCCCCTGACAGCACCTGTTCCTTTCCCCTTCCACGCTGCAGGTGCAGAACAAGCTGGACGGCTGCTGCTATGCCGTGAAGCGCATCCCCATCAACCCGGCCAGCAGGCACTTCCGCAGGATTAAGGGCGAGGTGACGCTGCTGTCGCGCCTGCACCATGAGAACATTGTGCGCTACTACAACGCCTGGATCGAGAGGCACGAGCGGCCGGCGGGCCCCGGCATGCCGCCCTGGGGCGCTGGGCGCCAGGCCCAGGATGGGCGAGCCTTGCCCCGGCTGCCGGTGGACGACAGCGACACGGACGGCCCCGACAGCGTGGAGGCGGCCGCCCCGCCGCCCGTCCTCACCAGCTCGGTGGAGTGGAGCACGTCCGCCGAGCGCTCTGCCAGCGCCCGCTTCTCCGCCGCCAGCCCAGACTCCAGCAGCGACGAGGACGACGACGAGGATGAGCACGACGGTGTCTTCTCCCAGTCCTTCCTGTAAGAGCCCGCAGCGTTCACAGCAGGCGGCCTGGGCGGCAGGCTGCTTAAGGCAAGCCCCTGAGCTAATCCCCACAGGCCCACCTCAGGGAAGAGGGGATTCAGATGGAAACCCAGTGCGGTTTGCCATGTGAAAAATACACAACAAAATATGAAACCCACTTTCACAGAGGAACCAAATGCAATCCGAAGGGGTTTTTCCCACTCTCTTCAAAAGATCTCCAAAATCCAAGCCCTGGAGAAAGGAAAAATCGAAATTTCTTCCAGTACCTCATCTTGTGTTAAGATGTGTTATTTAATAGAATTTTGGTTTAAAGGTCATTTCTTTAGATAAGGGCTTCCAACTCTGGAACAATGAAGAACTAATTTGGAGTCTTGCTATAGTGCCAACTGCAGTTCCAGTAAAGGTTACCAAACCAATAATTATGATCCTAACCTATAGTTATATGCATCTCAGAAAATACCCCAGTCATTTAATTTCATGATTTTTATTTCATTGTATC